GTCTCTTCAGAAATCCAACAGATTCAAATGAAAAGCCATGATGTGCCTTCGGCAACCCGTGGGATTCCTGAGACAATTCACGGGATGCCGCGGGGCACCCATGGGATCCTCTAGGGAATCAATGAAAAACCTTGGGGGGCCATGGGCCGCCTCAGGACGCCCGAAAGATGCCTTTCCAGAGGATTCCTACGGACATCCATGGGACTCCTTCGGATTCCGCCTTCTCATCCTCCTCTTCCTCCTCCTGCTTCCACTTCCCCCCTCCTCCTCCTCCTCCTCCTCCTCCTCCTCCAGGTCCCCCCTCTCGCCCCTCTTCCTGAGCATCCGCGTCCTGGTGCTGTCGACCGGGGAGATCGCCGCGGTCTCCACCTCGCGCGCTCGGAAACGGCGGGCGCCCTCGACGCCCCCCTCGTCCTCGGAGCGGCCTCCGACCGCGCTTGCGGGCCCTGCTTGGCGCGCGGGGCGCGGGGCGAGACTGCTCGCGTTTACCGCCGCGGCCGTTTGAACGACCCCGCGACCGCCGTGGCCCCGCTCCAAATGGACTTACCTGCTGGCGGGCCCGACTTATTGATGTGGGAGAGCCCGCGCTGTCGCTGAACTTGCGCTTGCCCTCCCGGCAATAGGGGCAAACTTTCTCATGGGCGTCCTGCAACCGGATTTGGGGCACTTGCCGCCCCTCGCGCGGGGCGCGCAAATCTTGGCGCGCGCCCCCCCCCCCCCCCCCCCCCCCCCCCCCCGCAGCCGCATGCGCTTTCGCGCCGCTCTTCACAAAGGAGAAACGGCCCCGGGCCCGGGAGTGCCCGCCGCCATGGGCGCAGCAGCTACCTCCTTGAATCTAGTTGCCGCGTAGGCCTCTGCTCGAGGCCATTGCGCCATGCCCTCGGTTTATGTCAACCATCTCCCTCCTACGCGTTGAGAAGATTGGACGCGCTTGGAGCCTCTAAAATCTGACGCAAAGCCTGTGTCACGTTTGTTCGGGCCGCCCCGCTCCGCTCTGCAACGCGCGCCCGCGTCGATTCCCATGTCTCCGCGGCGCGCAAGCCGGACAGCAAGAGGGCTTCCTTTCAGAATGCGTTCATGGGAGAACAAAAAGCCGACGCCAGCACCAAGAAAGTATTTGTTTCACGAAATGTCGAATTGCGTTTTGGACCAGCGTGAGCCCGCCCTGGCCTGAGGAATCGCAGAGTGGGCGAGGAGGACGGGGGAAGGGAGACGTCGCGCAGCACGCAGGAGGGAAAGCAGGAAATAACCAGCGCAAGCGAGAAGCGAAACTAGCGGGCGCTCTCGGGAGAAGAGGGAGAGAAGAGGGAAGGCTGCGGCATCCCCCATGGCTGAAGTTTCACTCCCCCCACCGCCGCCCTCCACCACGCCTGCCCCCGCCCGCCCGCCCCCCTCTCATTCCCCCCGCCCCTCGCCCACCCTATGTCCGCCCGCGTCGCATCCCTGGCCCTCGTCTGGCCCGACGCCAAGGCCCGACGAGTTCGAATCCGCCGCTCTCTGCGAAAGGGGGCGGTGGCCGCCCGTCGCGGCCTGGGCATGAGACCGTGGCCCCCTCTTGACCCAAGCCCGCAGCCCGTGGCAACCTTCCGAAATCGTCGAGGGGTTCAGCTCGCACATGGGGCCGCCGCTCCAGTGGGGGCCCCGGTGCTGGCGTCGGCTTTTTGATGTTGCAGGGAACAAAAAAGCCGGCACCAGCGCCAAGACGCCACTGGAAAAGTTCGGAGCGCTTTCCCTGTGGGGGCTGAGCGACCCAACGAAGCCAAGAAAGCTTGAGATGGCTCGCATTGCTCTCCGACTTTGCAAGCCACGGTGCTTCCATGATAGGGAAACGCCCCATGCAGCTCATGGCGCCCCTGAGGCCCACGGGGCTGCCATGGCCCGCGGGGCTTCCAAGGCTCAGAAACCAAATGTGGCCCTGACGAGTCAGGGAGCCAATGGTGCCCGCGCGGCATGCTGGGCCAGCGCGGCGCGTTGGGCTCATGCGCGCTGCGGCGCGCGTTCGGCCCATGAAGCCCTCTGTGGAACTTGTGGGGTTCATGGGGCTGGCTGGGTTCGCACGGCCCGCGGGACTCGCGCGGCCCATGGAAATCCTAACGCTCACCTGGGGAACTGGAGACGGCCCGTTATGTTCCCACGCGCTCAGAGCTGGCGCTCATCAACTCTGGACACGCGAACCCGAAGACACGGGCGACGGCATTCAACAGAGGCTGCAATGTTTTCTTTTCTAATGGCTTCTTGGTGTTGGCGTCGGGCCCCCGTGCGCCGAGTTCAGCAGGGGCGCGTGCCACGCAACAGACGGCCTGTTCAAATGGGAAGAACAAGGGTGCAACAACCGGCTACGACGAGCCAGTGCCGGCCCGTGGTCACGGCGAGAATCTGTCGCCCCTGTGCAAGGCAATTGCGGGCACTGGCATCTTCTTCGCGGCCCTCAGAGCGCTGCTCGCACGCGCGGCCGTCGTTTCCGACCGCGCGAAGTCGCCGAAAAGCTGCTTCGGGGATGCCCGGCAACGAGCTGACATCCTCACGCGTTTCTTGTTTCCGCTCTCGGAGGAAAGGCGCTGTTGGCAGAGATCGGAGAAGGGCCCCCTCTGCTTCCATGAACCTCATCTGCGTTCATCAGCAGGACGTCCTCGGCAGCAGACTGGCGGTCGCGAGATGGGCACCCCGCCCCCCTGTCCCATGCGTTTCGGACGGTGGGCGGCCGACTGGGCGGCTTCTCCCAGCTTCTGGGGGCCGAACCTGCGATTCCTGCACGGTATTGTTTTGACCCGCGCTCCTGGGCGTTCGGAGTGGCCGGGGCGTCGCGCGGTCGTGGACTGGGCCGCCGATCGGGATGCGGCCGCGTCGGTGGTCGCCCCGGGGCGGGCGCGCCGCCGGCAGGTCCCCCGCTTATCCCAGCGCCGGGCTGCCCCACCGCAGGCGGCAGAGCTCTGGGCTGTCCTAGCGCGCGATGATCGGGCGCGGGAGCGGCCTCGACTGGAAGTGGATGGCTGCCGCCGACGACACTCCAGTCCGCGAGTTCTCTCGCCGCAGGTGGCAACGGGCTGCTGTGGCCCGCCGTCGTTCGCGCGGAAGGTCTCGCGCGCCTCGCCGCTGGCGAAGGCTGCCTGGCCGCGGTGGCCATGCGAGACGGCGAGGTGGTGCGGGTCAACAGCGAGCGATGAATGGTCCAGCCTGAAACGTACTCGCCTTAGTCAAACTGTGGTTCCATCGCTGTTCTATCCGCGTGTGCCCCGTGGACATCGCCGTTGCCCATCACCAGGTCGCTTCAGCTTTTGCCCAACTGTTCGCCCCCATAGCCCCTGCCCCTGCATCGCGAGGTGCAGAGATTCCCGCCCCCCATCACGTCTCCATATTTCCGCCCGTGCTACCCGTACTTTCTTGGAGTGAGGCAATCGGTGATAGCGTTTTCCGAGTGCGGGTAGATGTTCACTGATTTCGCACTTAATCAAAGCACAGGAAGTGGCAGCGTACTCCACTGGGTAAGTTCGCTCCTTGTTGCTGCTCTCTTCCAGCTGCAATGCGCGTTTGTCAAGCGTCTGCATGAACTAACTGATGGGTTTCGTTGGCGACGTGTTGCCCCGACGCCCCGACGCGTCTGGCAGCTGCTTCAGGGGAAAATTCTCAACTGCATTAAGGCGCTCGATCAGACGTGTAACCCCGTGGTCAGCGACGGGCCGGCGGGGCTTTCGGGCCTGAGCGCTCGCGGCGAATTTGTCCTCAATGAGTCGCGAGCCTGTGAGTCCACGCTTTGCGCGTTCTGCGCTTGTGAGGCGCTTGGGAGCTCCGCGAAGGATGATCGCGACAAGTTGAGGCGGCCTCGTGTTGTCACGTGAACACTCTCTTTTGCTCATGAAAGGCCTGTTGCTGCTCGTTGTCGACTGTCTGGCGTTATGTTTGGGGCATGTCGGCAGTCGGGATGCATGTTGCCTTTTTTTTTCTACGGTGGCTGCTCTGGAATATCCTGGCAGCCCCGCTGGTGGCCTCGCAAGCTGCTGGTCCGCAGCGCGAGGCGGCACTTGTCGCACCTGGTCGAATGGGCAAAAAAAGGGCCTGGAATCTGTCGCTATGACAGCTGGAGTCTCAGTCCCGCGCTTCGACGCGGGATGAGAGGTTCAACCTCATTTCGTCTGGCCCCATTCGTAATCTTGCCGCGCCGACGGCGGCATGCCCCATCGCGTGAGCAGCGGTTTGTCCCAACGCTCAAGCTCGCACTAACTCGTGGTTGGTTTTCCTGGTCCTCCGCAGCGGTGCGGTCTACCTGCGTGCTTCGAACGAGCCTCAACTGCTGCTCTCTAGCAGCTTGATTCGATCTTCCCGAAACGAAAGGCGCGTCGGGGATGTCCAATGTTAGCTTCACGCTCTGCTGAGTTCGCCACAGTGCGCCGCGCTGTTCCCGCTGATAACCTGAATGCAGAGATATAATGGCCTGTGGGCGAGGTAGTTGACGGCCCCGCCCTGCCCTTTAAGGCGGACGAAGTCCGCATCTAGGATTCATTGGAATAGTAGTAACCCGCATGCAATATGCAAGCGCAGCGGACAGAGATAGACACACGACGCTGGCAGCGCGCCCCATTTCCCACTAAACCGCTGCGAGAAATAAGTGTTCGAGCGGCGCGTTCCCGTCCTCACCATCGTACCCATGGAAATCGGGAGAAGGAAGGCACAAGCGGAGAGGGAACGGTCGAAATGGTCCCATGGGGCCGACCCACAAAAGCACAGCGGGGTCACAGCAAAAGTGAAACGCGCCTAGTCCAAAGGGTAAAACACAGTTCAAAACCAGGGCGGCCGGAAGGAATAAAGGGGATTGGCCCAACATCCGCTCAAAATCTGCCCCATGATCCCATCCTGCGCTCGTCCTGGCAAAATGTTCGACTTGCGTGCAGCCGTGAGGACTAAAACCATCAGAAAAGAACGGTCAAAACCTCCCAAACGAGTACGCCGACGTCGACGACGGGGCTGAGGCCAGGACTTGCAATTTCGGGTGTCCAGCGGAGTGCCGAGAGGCCGTCTGGGATAGCAAAGGGTCTCCTCGAGGAAACGCTGGTCGGACTCCTGCAGGAGGAGCGCCGGGCACCGCTCGCGCAGCAGCGCCCTGGGGGTCCGCGCGCGCGAACGCGTGGGCGCCTAGGAATCGCCAAAAAAACACGAGAATCGAGGATCCGCCTCCGCAACCACTGCGGGTCCACGCGGTGCTACGAGGCTACCTTAGTGTTACGCAATGCTCTGCCGTGAACTCCATGCTATAGTATGCTCTGCATGTAATGCGATGCTGTGCTACGCTCTGCCTTGTTGTCATCGGCCATGCCCTCGCCGAATGTGTGCTAGAGGCCAGGGCCCAGATGAGGAGCCAAGGCCCTAACTGGCCGCGCAACCAAGGATACGGACACTGACACTGCCTGCACTTCACCGAGAAATTCTAGTACATTTGAATGCGCAGAACCAATGCGATCCACGCATTCACACCACGAAACCACATCCGGGGCACGTTGAAGCTGACTGAAAACGATGTGCCAGACACTTACAATTGAACTCGGGGAAACGAGAAATTGATTATTGATAGCGCTACGGGCTCCCCAGACTTCACCCGGGTGTCTGCTGGCCAAGGTTTCGAAGCGAATCCAGCCGTGGCGACGACGGCACCCCAGGCCCGGAAGGGGGGACGCGAGGGAATGGCAGCGGCATCGGTATCGCTTACTCCTCTGATGACGTCGCCCAATTGCACATCTGAGAGTGGAACCCAATGTAGCCGAAGCATGACAGTGGGCAGCCTGATCTCGCTGGCCACGGCGGCCCTGTCCACGCCGAGAGGCTCCTCGCCCACTGCCCGCAGGTCTAACACTACCGCGCAGCTGACGGTCCCCGTCACTGGCCATCCTCCACCCCCTCACGTCCTCCTGCTGCCGCTCCAAGACGCGTTCCGCCATAGGATAAATACCGTCGCAATTTAGATCATCAGTCAGACAACCGCATGCCTCAGGTGTAGAGGCAGTGGGAGGCAGAAGGTGGAATCTAGTCACACACCTACACATTCAAATCGGAGCACACGTAGACCCCGCGCCCCCGAACACGCATGTTTTCGGATGCACGGCTGTACTGAAACGTCCTAATGCGTTTGAATCGCCTTTTCAGTCTGTTGGCTCTGCATAGTACCCACAGGCGTTGACCTTCAAAACCAAACAAACTGCCCATGGAGCCTGGAGGGTCAACTCGTAAACCTACTGGCGTTTAACCCTCATCGGGTGGAACCGTCGGGCGGGGCCACTCTAGCGTAGGACCATTGAGACTCCATCAAACAAGGCCCGATAGGGTGGGACACTTGGGGGGACCTATCGGGCGGGGGCCCCATCAGACAGGACCATATCGGGCGCGACCCTGCCGGGTGGCGCGGCGCGGCACGCGGCACAGCTCAACGCGGCTCCTTACGCGGCATGGCACGGCACGGCCAAAAACCAACATTGTTGCAGCATTAATCTCCTCCGCGGCACGGCACGGCACGGCGCAGGTGGGTACGCGGCGTCGCCTGGCACGGCGCGGCACGGGGCACGGCAAGGCACGCGGAATCACGGGAGTTTGCACCGTCGGTATCCGACATGGCCCGGCATGTCGCCGCAAAGCAGAAGCGTTCGCAACCAAACACGCTGTGAGAAAGTTCTGATCATCTGCAGGAAACGCACCGCTTCATCGGTTGTTGGGATTTCGCTTGTGGGGGTACCAGCAAAAAACTCAGAAACCGCCTCGACGCGCAAAACTCTCGATGACCTCGGGGGGACCAATGGCCTCTGCCTCGAGCGACGGAATGGGGTCCTGTCAAAGTGTACTGCCCATGGCAGGCGGCCATGCCTGCCGAATAAACGACTGGTACCATCCACATCCTCCACCCTTCCCGCGCCCCGTCCCGTCCGACATACCCGAATATCATATGTATTGACCGTCTTCAATGCTGGGTCCAGGCAAGCCGTAACCTTCTACCCAAAGCGAATCCCCTCAGCCCTACTAGGGGTGGAGGTGGGGGGGGTATAGCAAAGTATTGTCCTCATGCTTGCCACAAACCATCCTTCCCCTGTTCGGGTACGGGTTTACAACGACTCCTTATCAATGTACACGCCCTTCCCCACCCTACTAGCGACAAACCCCGGACAATGAGGGTACCTCCCTCGCCATCGCTGTCGAAACAAATGCCAAGCGCACACTGCGGCGAAGTATTGGGTCATGTTCGTGGCGTCCGCGAGCACTTTTGCATTTCCCATTCATCCTGTGGTGTTGGGTTCTCGTCTTGAATGCGCATCGCCCCGCGTCCCTCCTTCCTCATCCCCCTCCCTCCTCCCTCCTCCCATACCTGCCTCTGCTCTCCGCATGTCCATGTCATGTCGACACACCCCTCGCACGTGCTGTGGCCCCACAGGGAGCTCCACCTAAGGCCCCAATGCCAGGGCCCGCTTGCCCGGTCCACACCATTCCGGCGCAACCCTCACACGCTTCGTGGCTCCAACGGAAGCTCCACCCAAGGCCCCAGTGGTTGCGCCCGTATGCCTGGTCCACACCATTCCGGTGCACCCCTCAAACGTTTCGTGGCCCCATCGCGAGCTCCGACTGAGGCCCCAGTGACGCACACCCCTCGCACGTTGCGTGGCTGTGGCGAGCTCCACCTCAAGCTCCAGTGCCAGGGCCCGCATGCCTTCTCCACACTATATTTCGGCGCACCTCTCACACGCTTCGTCGCCCCATCTGGGGGCTCCACCTGAAGCCCCAGTGGCTGGGCGGCGCGGGCAGCCGCGAAGCTGGACCGAGCGACGCGCGCCCCATGGTGCATGCCTTGGTGTGCGACCACGCCCACGACCGCGACGTCTGAGATGGAGGCGCCGTCGTCGCCGGGGCTGGCGGCGGCGCGGGCGCCAGTCCCAGCGCGGACGCCGTCGCCGTCGGCAGTGCGGGCGCCAGTCCCAGAGCAGGCGGTCATGTCGATGTCGGCGTTGGTGCTGGCCCTTGAGCTGGTCTCGGCGTCGGCGCAGGCGCCCGCGTCAGCGTCGGCGCAGGCGCCCGCGTCGGCGTCGGCGTCGGCGGTGGCGTTGACGTCGGCGTTGGTGCCCCGCGCCAGGGCATGCGGCGGCGAACCTGCACCAGTCCATGTCGCGGCCCACGTCGGCCCCGGAGCTCCAGGCGTCGGTGCTGGCGGGTTGCAAGGGGCACTTCCTGAAATTTTGAGCGCCCCCAGCTGTGCGCTCGCGATTGCCGCTGGCGCCGCTGGCGGGCCGCCGGGGGCCCTTCCTGCAATTCTGAGCGCCCCCAGCTGTGCGCTCAGAATTGCGGCTGGCTGGCACTGCTGGCGGGCCGCCAGGGGCCCTTCCTGGAATCGCCCCCAACTGTGCGCTCAGAGCTGCTGGCGCCCTGTGCCGCGGGCGCAGCTGTGCACGACTCCAGGTGCCAGGGCAAGTCGGTGGCGGCAGCGAGGGCAGCGGCGAAGCCCAGGCAGAGGCGCCCACGTCGGCCCTGGAGCCCGTGGCGCAGTCGCCGACGTTTGAACCAGCGTCGGCGCCGGCGATAGCGTGGGCACCAGTGCCCGTGCAGACGTCCTTGTCGGCGTCGGCATTGGCCCCAGCCCTGTGCTGGTATCTGTACTGGCGTAGGCTCGCGCGGCGGCGTTGGCGCCGGCGCTGGCGTCGGCGCTGGCGTTAGTGTCGGCGTAGGCGGTGACGCTGGCGTCGACGTCTGCGTTGACGCCGATGCCGCCAGCATCGGGGACCGCGTCGAGGCCCTCGGCGCCGACCTGGAGCCAGTCTATGTCCCAGACCTCGTCGTCCTTGCTGGCGGCGGCGCCGGCGTCGGAGCTGGCGGCGGTGCTAGCGTCGGTGCCGGCAACGGCGTTGGCAGCCGTGGAGGCGGCAACGCCCGCGTCGGCATCGGAAGCGTCGGCGTCGGCGCAGTCGTCGGTGCTGGCGCTGATGTTGGCGTAGGCCGTGATGCTGGTGCCGACGTCGACGCTGGCGTCTGGTGCGGGGTCCCACGTCGGAGAGCCCAGCGTCAGGCCTGGACCAATCCATGGCCCAAACCTCACGGGCCTCGGAGCTGGCGCGGGCGACAGCGTCGGTGCTGGCACCTGCGCTGGCAGCCGAGTAGTGAGGCGACGGCGAAGATGGCGTTGAGTCCGGCGTCGGCGGTGACGTTAGGAGCGTTGGCGCCAGCGTCGGCGCTAGCGGCTGCAGAGGAGGCAACATCCTCATCGGCGTCGGAGCCAGATGCGCAGTCGCCGGCGCCGGGCCTGGCAGCGGCCCCAGCGCAGGCGTCGGCGCTGGCGTCGGCGCCGGGGCTGATGATGGCGCAAGCGGTGACGTCGGCGTCGACGACGGCGGCGGCGGCGGTGCTGGGAACAGGGCCCACGTCGGGGCCCGCGGCGCCAAACCTGTTCCAGTCCGTGTCCCAGACCTCGTCGGCCTCTACGCCGGTCTCGGCCTTGTCCGTCCCGGCGGCCCTCCTCGAGCGCTCGGCGATGCTCGCGCTCATCGCGAAGGGCGCGGGCTCACAAGTTCCCCCCCTGCCATTGGCGGCGCCGCGGTGCCGCCTGCTCTCCATGGCGGCCCGCCGCCTGCTCCGCAGCGTGTTGGTGGCGAGCCTCGTCTAGCAGCTGCTGCCCCACCTCCAGGGCCTCGTCGGCCTCGCGGAGGGATTCCTCGCGTTCTAACAGCGCGACCTCCCAGGTGTCGAGCACGACCGTCAACCAGTACAGCTTGGCCTCTGGCAGCGCCCACCACGCCGCCACGGCGGTCGCCTGCTCCGAGCGGCGCCTCGCGAGCGCGCCTCTGGCCCCCTCAAAGGTTAGCGCGCGCCGGCGCAACCGCGCGTCCAGCTCGGGGCCAGCGCCGCGCCAAAGATCTGGCTGGTGCCGGCGTCGGAGGCGCCGCAATGGGGCGGGCGCAAGCTCCGACATCGGCGTCGCAGCCCGCGGCGGCGGAGTGCTGATGCCAGCGTAGGCGTCGACGTCGATGCCGTCGGCGTCGTCAGGCGCGTCAAACACGGCGTCGGCGTCGGCATGGGCGTTGGCGCAGGCGATGGGGCCAGCGCTGGCGTTGGTGGTGGCACAGGTGTCGGTGCGGTTGTCGGCGCTAACGTTGGAGCAGGCGTCAACGCGAGTGACGATGTGGGCGGCGCAGCTGGCGTAGGCGCCGTCGTGGGCGCCGGCGTCGCCCAACCATAATCAGGAACTCCGCGTCCGCGTCTGGCCACAACCCCGTCCACGCCCACCTCTGGCCATCCGACTTGGAGTTGGCGTCGGCATAGGCACGTGCGCCGACGCTGGCGCCGGCGCGGGCGTCGGCGCCGGCGCAAGTGCCGGCGCCGCTGTAGGCGCCAACACTGGAGCAAAACCGATTCAGGTGACAGTGCCGGCGTCGAAGCGGATGTAAGCGCCGAAGGTGTCCTTTGCCTCCCGATACGGGTTTTCCTCGTCGAACTCGTCGTGCGGCGCCATCATTCGCGAAACCGACGGGGCCCCGGCAATCCGCAGGCAACTGGGCGCCGTGCTCGCCCTCGTGGGCGCGGACCAGCTTTCCCGGCACGCCCTCGACGTCGTCGCCTTCGTCGCCTCCGGCGCCTAGTCCGAGGCCGCCGCGAAGTGTGCCCAGACGAGACGCTCTCCGAGGCAGGCCTCCCAGACTCCTCAGGAATGAGCTCCTCCTTCAGCTCCTCGGGGTTGGCAGACAGCCTCGGTTGAGGAGCGGCCGTCCTCCTATAATGTGGTCTTCCCCATCCTCCTCCGCCTCGTCCTTACTGCACGGCCTCCCGGCCCCCGCTTGCCCAGCAGCGGGCGGCCCCGCTGCCTGCGCCTCATCCTCCTCTCATCCTGCGCCGCCTACTCACCCTCCTCCTTTGCGGTCGACCTCCTGGGTCGTCGCAAACCCGCCGGCTACGCGCCAGGGCGGCCCTCATCATCCCCGGCGGCGCGTAGCTCCGCAACGAAATCCGCGATGCTGGTTCCTGCTTTGCCCCGCGCCTCTGCGGCAGCCTCGGGCTCGTCGATGCGGGCCCGCAAATTCTCGGCGACCGCGGCTCCCCGTTCGCCGCGCATCGTCAGGTGGCCGACGCACGCCATCAGGATGGCGACGTACGTGCGCCCCCCCGCCAAGCCTCCTCGGCACCTTATCTGCGCGCCCGTTCGTACTTGCACGCCTGGCCCCTCTCTTGGAGGGCCATCTCGGCCATCCTCTGCCGAGGTGACGTTTCCTGCCGGCGAGTCGCCTCCTCTTCGTAGGCCTGGCGCCACTCCTCAGCACCCACGGCGGCCCGAGACCGCTCGGCCGCCGGGTCAACGCGCCGCGACCGGGCCGCGCCCAGCTTCTCCTTGGCGTCGAACGCCTCGGACGCCCAACACAACAGGTCGGCGCCCTCCTCGGCCAGCGCGGCATCCATGAGGCGACATTGGCCCTTTGCTGCCAGCAAGCAGCAGGCCAGTCAACCAGCGGCCAGCCAGCTGAGGCCAAGCAGGTCGAGCTCCAGCCCGCTGCTCCCGCCGCCGCCCACGGAGCTAGCCGCCGCGCGGCTTCGCTCAACGACGGGGTCGCCCCCAGGCTCCTTTGGCATTCGTGGAACCCACAACCCGTCCCAGCCCCAAACGCCGCCTGACTGCAGGCCCCGGGGGACCTCCTCTGGGTTGGACTCGTCTCCGGGCTTCGTTCCCGCAAGCCCCTCCAGCGGGCCTGTCGCTGCTTCGCCGGGCCCGTCGGTGTCCGCGGGACCCCTTCGGCTGGCCCGATGCCTCGTCAGGTCTCCCGGGGTGCGTGGGCGGGGTGCGCGGCTCGTCCCCACTGGGACCGCCCTCGGCACCCGACCCGCCCACTGGCTCGGCCGCGGGTGGGCTAGCCGAAGGTCTGCGGAACGAAACTTTGCCCACCCCACCGTTCTGGAAACCAGAGGTTGCACATTACTCACGGCGCGCGGTTCCAGGGATGCGCCGCATGTCGCACAATCATAGGGCACGTCGCGCGGTGCAGCCATTTTCCTTTGCGATTCAGACGCGTGCCCCATGCCAACCCTCACGATATATACGTACAGCGCAAGCGCATGGATCAGCATGGAGCTGACTAACACGCGAGCGCTGCTCGATGAAAGCCTGACCGAAACGCGGAGGAGGCGGGGAGGGGAAGGCAAGGAGGAACAGGCGTTCAGGAAGAGGGAGAAGCGAGGCAGCAGACCGGCAGGCCTCTTGAGCACGGCCCCGAGCGTGGAACGTCCATCGCAGCGGGGCGATATCCTAGCAGGGGCGGTGGGTATTTTCATGGGGCCCTGTGAGGCATTAGAAAACCCACCCGGCGCCCCTGAATGAGCTCGTGCTCCCAGGTCTTTTGCGGTTGCCTGTCGAACTGCTCATTCTCCCATTTTTCCGACGCTTGCTCCTTGCCCCCGCCCCCTCATCCTCATCCTTCCTATCCACCTCGTTCTGCCCTCCCTTGTCGTTTCCCTTTCCGTTCCTCCTACTCCTGCCATCCCTCTCTTACAATGAAATGTAAGTGGAATCAGCTCGAGCTTTTTGGCTGACCCTGCAACCCTCCTCTTCCGCATTCCCAATATGAACCGCCCCGATCGCCCCCTGGCGGCGGAGCGACGTTCGGTCCTTGTTCGCGGCGGCCCACCGAAGGGGGTCGGTCAAGTGTGGCGCAGTCTGCCATGTATCGTCTCTTGTTTGTTCTGAGGGGGCATTCGCTGCAGCGGCGGTGGGCGAAAAAAACGCCCCCGCGCTCGCGGCCGACGCCCGTGGTCATCGTGGTGGTCGGCAAAGGGTTACCTGGCGGGCCTCTCCCCTTTCCTCCCGCGGGCGTGAGCTTGGCGGGCCGAGCTCGCCCCCTGCCATGGCCCCCGCCGCCCGCAACCCCCAGCATCGGCCCGGGCTTGGCTGGTGGCACCAGCGCGGGAGGCGCGTCGCCCCCAGTGCGGCCAAGAGGCCACCAACCCATCGCCCCCTGGGCCGAGAGGCTGCCTTCCAGCAGAATGATCACCGCATATGTCCCGAGAAAGCCCACCGCCATTGCGCCGTACGCCGGGGCCCCACCCACCTGCAGTGGCTGATGAGCCCCGGGGTCCAGGGCCCTACCCGCCCACAGCGGCTGGTGAGCCCCCGGGTGGACCGCCAGTCCCCAAGACTCGGCGGTCCGCGCGGTTATGGCCGCAGGCACCCTGGTGCACCCGTGGCCTGGCTCCGAACTCGAGCCAGACGACTACGGACCCAAAATGGCGATGGCAAACCTCCCACTCTGCTACACTGAACCTGCGGTCTACCTACATGTTCGACTATACAAGGGGCGAGATTAAAACAGCAAAACAACGGCATGCATGAGCATAATCTTTCGGAGGTCCGCCCAGACTTCGTGGGCTGGCGTTGGCTTTCGGAGGTCCGCCCAGACTTCGTGCGCTGGCGTTGGGCTCCCCTTCCCTGGCGCGCGAGGGTTTCCAGGGACGGAGCCGGAGACGCAGCCACGATTACCCGGCGCCGACCCAGCAAATCCGCGCGGACCTCCGAACATATATGTTGATGTCATCTTTGTTTCTCGAATCGTGATCAACAGCTGTGGGCCGTATTCGCCGGCCCAACGGGCCAGAGGCGTGCTAAGATCTCTGGCAACTGGTTAACAATATTTCTAATTCGCGCGCGGGGCGGTCCCTGGGGTCCCCCGGCGAAAAGTACCCCGACCGCCGCCCGGGCGCAGCCCGGCCACCCTTTACGTACTCAGAGATTGTTTTCCTCCTGGGTGCGGTCTCTGAGGCCTCCCAGCGCTCGCCAAGAGGGCCCCAAGAGGCCTCCAAGACAGCCCAAAAGCGCTCCGAGTCACCGAACGAGCGGTCCAAGATGCCCAGGATGGCCTTCATACGGTCCGCGAGGCCGCCGAGAAGCCCCAAGAGAGCCTCAAGAGGCTCTCCAAGAGGGCTCCAAGAAGGAAAAATCGTCACATTCCCTAAAAGGGGAAACTCACATGTTCCGCATATGCGACGTCTGTAAGTTCACAGCGTCCAAACGTGCCCAAGAGGCCCCCAAGATCGCCCCAAGACGGCCCAACAAGCCACAAAGATCAGCCCAAGAGGGCCCAAGAGGGCCCCAAGACAGTCCCAGAGACCTCCAAGATGGCCCAAGACGCCTCCAAGACGGCTCTAAAAGCGAGACGATGCCTAGCAGCATGAGTTGTCCAGAACTGGCATGCGACGCTCGCTATCTGGCTGCAACGTTCGCTGCTGAACCGATACCGGATCACATTATTCACAGGCAGGGGATGCCTCTGGCCATCATCCCCGTTCGCATCGCACCTCCTCCTCCTCCTCCTCCTCCTCCTCCTCGAAGCGCCCCGATGTTTCAATATGTTTCTTCCCTTGCCCCTGCCTCCTACTCTTTCGTATGTCCAGCAGGACCTGGGTGGATGAGGCTGTAAGAGGGCGGAGGCGTGCAAACGAATCAAAATGCGACAGGATACAAACGCAACTTACGGTCCCCACCGGACGCGGTCTGAAGTAGCGACCAAACCGGTCACTCGTTATAACGTGCCCGGGATTGGAATCGTGTTCTCGACGAGACAGCGCAGTGCAAGCGTCTACTTGGCAGCGGCATACAAGCGATGATCACAACACAGATTTTGCCACATTGCGACGCCGCGCGGCGAGGGGAAAACTAGAGGGCGACCTGCACTCCTGTGAGGGATCGTAGGTGGTCGATCTGCGTATCGACATACATAAACCACAACGCCCACAGTGCCAACGCTCGGTCGTTGCCATGCACATGCTTCCACGCGTGCGACTGCCATCGCTGATCTCGTGACATGTGCGGTGATCGAATCGCTGACCCTTTCGAACCGAAACTGGTTTCGCAAAGGCGGTGCTCGGGTGCTTCTGATCTCCGACCACCGCTCCCCCTCCACTCACTCTTCTGTTCCATTTCCATGCGTCGAAGAAAATGTCCCAATGGCTCTCACCTGCTACCTAATACATGTACACTCAAAACTGGACATAGATATAGAGTACAAGGGTCACATGGGCGCAAGGCACCTGGAACACAAGTCGAGGATCCCTTTTGATCTTGGGAGTGGAACGCATGAAAAACATGATCAGTACAGAATGATGCAAGGGTCGTTGTGTCGAAAACTTTCTTGTGATGCCAGTTTTGACTGAATCCCACCCCCTGAGCCTCGGAAGGTTGCCATGGATCTGAGGCGTCGCCTGAGCGGAACGCGTTGCAGAGTCTATACTCCCCTGCCCCTGCCGCCCTCCTACCCATGCAGCATGGCGGATCAATCGATGTTCGTCGGCTGTCTTCTCACAGGTTCTCCTCTGCATCCCATGAGTTGCGGCCCATAAAGCAAACCTCTCCACATTGGGCGCCACCGCGCGACCTTCGAAGCTCTGCAAAGAGGTGTGTATATGTATGTACATATGGATATATACATATACATATACATCTCTCTCTATATATATGTACATCTATATATACATATATATACATATATATATAGGTTATGAATCCGCCGACCCTGTCGGCGTGTGGAAAAGGCTGTTCCGTTTGACTCGTAGTTTAGCAACGTTGTAGTTGAGTCGAAGGGAAGCCCCTTCCCTTTGATCCCTTCCCCGCGGGGGGGGGAGGGGTCCTGGGGTGTCCCCGGGCAGATGCGACTCCCCCTCGGGCGGTTCGGCGGCCCACAAAAGCCGCAGGACGCGGCAAAAGTGATGGTCTACCTCAGGACCCCTGCCCCCGCCTTAGCCCCCGCTCCAACCCCGTTCCTGGCCCGGCCTGGTCCTGGCCAGCCCCACCCCCGGCCCCAGCCCTTGCCCCCTGGTCCCCCCGGCCACGGCCTTAGCCGGCCCCGGCCCCGGCCTCGGCCCCGGCCCCGTCCCCGGCCGCGGCCCCGGTCGCGGCCCTGGCCGTGGCCCCGGCCCCAGCTCTCATCCGCCTCCTCCTCCTCCTCCTCCTCCTCCTCCACCACTTCCTCCTCCTCCTCCTCCTCCTCCTGCTCCTCTGCGCACCTACGATTGAACGCAACTCAAAACCGACCTGATAAAGGAGAGGCGAGAGAAAAAGAGAGGCGGAAGGTGCTGTCTTCTCCCCCTTGCTTTTCTCTCCTCATCCTCCTCTTGCTCCTCCTCTTCCTCCTCCTTTCTCTCCTCCTCCTCCTCCTCCTCCTCTACCTCCTCCTCCTCCTCCTCCGTTTCCTCCGCCTCCTCCTCCTCCTCCGTTTCCTCTTCCTCTTCTTCCTCAACTCCTCCTCCTCCTCCTCCTCCTCCTCCTCCCTCCACCGCCCGCCCCATGTCCCGAGTTTGTGGCAGGGTCATCAGCTCGCCGTTGTCGTTTTGTCGTCGTGGTCGTCGTCGTCGTCCTTGTGGGTCGGCGGGCACACGCCGTCAGGCCTTCACAATATACTTAAGTCCACATGTGTAAATATAAGTGTTCCAAAAACATACAAACGGTCTTGACTGTTACTCGTCTTCGTCCACATCCTCCCCAGTAATCCTCTCATGTCCTTACCCGTACCCTTATCTGCTAACCCTCCCCCCCGTCCACAAACACCCTGCCCCTCCTCATGATCCTCCCTTTCCTATCTGCTCATGCCACTCATGCTACAATATGCCAGTACAGCTGCACCTGTAGTTCCTACTGCACCCAGCGGTGCAACTCCCAATGCAATTCCTCAGACGATCCTACCGCAGCATCTGGTACAGCTCCCATTCAAGCTCGCACTGCCGCTTCGACCACAACCAGACGCACAACTCTCGCCACGTAGTTCTGGACCTTCTAATATAGTTCATATTCCAGCTCCACTTGACAGTCCTATTCAACCTTTTCGCTGCATATCGTATTGTCTGGCTGTTGTGACTTACTACTACAGAGCGCAGCGTAGTTCTCAATGCTACCTTTTCTTGATGCTCAGCCAAGCGAATCAGCAACTACGACTGCTCACCGCACATCTCCGAATAATGCCATGAGACCGTCTCACATTACAGCGACTCGTGCAACAACTACTACAACTAATCCTATAGCCTGTAGCCCGCCCTGGGCACAGCTCCCATTGCAACTCCAACATAAGTTCCTGATGCAGCTCGTCATACAGCTCATGCGTGTCCTACGACACCCAATAATACAGATCCGACAGCAGTTCTTACCGCAGCGTCTATTGCACATTTGATGTAGCGCAGCTCATTTGTCATACCCGACGGCGGCCTGAATTACATAATCGTGCGATCGGTATTGACGCATTGCCCACCTTCAGCTGGTACGACAAGCAATGGCGCAGTTCCTAAAACAGGTTGTACAACGCCCGTTCGTTCAACTGTCGCCACAGCGTACCATAAAGTTCACACGACCCTCCCCCCGCCATCTTCTTTTGAAACCTGCGCTGCACGTCCTGGTATACACATTCGCGCAACTCTTACATCAGCTTTCGCAACAGCTCGTGCCCCAACTCCTGCAACAGTTCGTGATTCCCTGACTACAGTTCGCATTGGAAGCCCGAATACTACCAACACTGCATTTCCTAGCGTTGCTGCAAATACAGATTCTACGAACCCTCCTACCGCAGCACTTACCACACATCCGGCAAGCGCGTTGCAATTTCATTGGGCTGCGATAGCAAAGCAAATGCACGCAAAATGGGGCCGATCCGCGCGACGGGGCGCAATTGAAACGACCGTGATCGCGACCCCGCAGATTGTGTGTATGGGGTTGGAGTATAAAGGTACAGAACCCCTGATCCTTTGGTAGAGGAAAGGAAGGAAAGATGGATATCTTCTCCTCCTGCACGATCAAAGGTCTGATCGATCTATTCCAATACCTGCGCCCAAACGGCCAGGCGCAGGAGAGGTGAGGATAAGGAGTATATACGAGGGTATTACACGAGTTCTATTCACACCCCCCGTCCCGAATCCCGCCCGTGAGGGCAGGACTCGGGAACAGGAGAAAAGATCCCGTTACCCTTTTACTCCTCAAATCCTCAGGTCTGTCAGGCAGCTGAGCGTGAAATCTGCATCGCTTCAGCTGCGTCCCAATCGCGATAGCGATCACGATTAGGCAAGAGAAGGTAAGAAGGAACACCCAGGGTCCCAGTTTCTTCGCCAAGCACACTTTGGCGCCCCCTCGGTGCGCCCCCAAAGAACGCTTCGGCACTCGAGGGCGGAGAAGAATGAGACGCGGGTGGGCGGAGAAAGAGGATCTGAGCAAGTTAAAGCAACATCAGAAGCTGCCGCGCCTGAGCGCGGCAGGCGTCGCCACCAGCTCTCACTCGAGAGCTTGGCGCCAGAGCATTCTCAACGCAAGGTTACTATACTGCAAAGAATATGCAAAACAAATGTGTATTATGAAGTCGTGTTGAGGAACACGATCGCGTTGAGAAACACGTCTGAATCTCGAAGCAAAATGTGCATGGCCATGCGTAAAGTCGCGTTGATATACATACATTCTGCATATCGTTGCTCCCCTCGGCGTTGCTCCTCAGGAGGCTGCCTTGGGCTTCACAGCGGTAGGTGTGGCCACTTTTCTTGGATAGTGAAGTGGCCTAAAATGATGTGGTTATTCACCGCTCGAGGCGAACATGTATAAACGTGAAGTTCGAGCCAATCGAGCGGCGGGCCTCGCGGCCGACCACGCTACGTGTTGCCCCTCGCGTAGAAGCTCTGGCCCCGCACCCGGTGGCCATCCTCCGCGATGTAGCTCGTCGCGAAGGTCTCCCAGGGCGTCCTCGGGGTCCAGTGGCGGAACCTATCGTTGCACTGCAAGTCGCTGGCGTACACGAACCCATCGTTGTTGTCCGCGATGTATATCCAGCACTTGGCGTAGTAGCCCCAGTGCCTGGGGCCCCACTGGCTCTCCTCTAGGTTCTTGCGCCACCGCGTCGCGTAGTCCTCCGTCCTGCGCGCGCTCTTGGCGCGGGGAGGTGTCGCGGGTCTGCGGCTGTCGTCGCCGCTCTGCCGCTGCGCGGCTGCGCCGCGCGGCCCAGCGGGCGCATCGCCCTGCGCGCCAAAGGCGCTGGGCTCAGCAGCGTCGCCAGGAGCGGGGCGCGGCGGCGGCGGCGGGTGCCGCGGCAGGTGTGGCTCCATGGCGCCATGGGAATGTGAAGGGTATGTATCAGGATCGATCGGATCGGCTCTAATCCCTGAACTAACCCCCCTTTGGTCTGTGGAACCCAAGGCGGGTTCGATGGAGGCAGGCACGGCAAGCTTGCGCTGCGTGACTTTCTCGCGAGTGCCATCCCCGCGGGGAAGGGCAATCGTGATAAGTCCGCGCTCCTGCCTCGTGCCTCTATCAAGTCTGCCTGTGTTCAACCACCATTTCTTCCGACCAGCTTGGCCAGTCCTGACACTGATATCGTGGATATCACAGGCGTCACGCATGTCCTCAATAGTGTAGGCCTCGTCGCCTCTATTGACACGTGCGGCTGTCATTTGGTGGTGGAACTTTAAATCGCTCAGGACACGTTGAACGAGATTGGCGAAGGGGTGGTATAGTGGTCTGTCGTCCTCAGACTCGCCCATCAACCTGCGCATGTGTACAGGAGGGGAGCCTGCGTCAACCCACTTCTGATGCCTCTCCACAGCTTTCTTCGCATATCTCCTCAAGTTATCCTTCTGCTGACCAGCCAAGGAGCGCTTGCCCATCATCTGGACATTTGCTCCATCTGACATATACCTGGCGGTGTCGTCCTGAGAGAGGGTCGTCTTGATCCAGTCGGTCAACTTCTGGAGGCATGCCAGGTTGCTCTCCGCGGCGCCGCCTTTGCCGGTAGCACCTACAGCGACCGTATACTGCCGGCAGATATCACAAATTGTACCGTCACTTGTGACGATTCCGAGGGATAAGAGACGATCGCGATTCCGACATCGCGCGATATCGTGCTGGATCTGGTCTGGGGCCCCGTGAATCGCGAGGTGCTCACGGGATCCCCAGCGGGTGTCGATACCGCTAGCGAGAACACGGCCGATCTGATCCATGGCGTCTCGATTGACATCAGCGGTCGGGCGGGAGGCGATCGATCGGCTCACCCCCTCGATCTCGATCCTAGACAATCTTTCCCCCGGTAGTCCTGCGTACTCGGAGGGGTCGTTGTCCGCAGCGTCATTAACACCATGGTGTATGTTGTCTGTGCGGACGCGGTTAGCCTCTGCCTGCAAGACAGCCTCATTGTCGCAAATCTTGCGGTCGATCCCCTTTTGCTCGGCTATGACCTGTACCATGG